GCCCGGGTTCGGGCCCAGAACAGCAGTGGCGTGATGGGCGGCCCGCAAAAGATGCTGATGCCTTCACAGTTTCCTAGCCAGGGCCAGCAGGGATTCTCTGGGGGCCAGGGACCCTACCAAGCCATGTCCCAGGACATGGGCAATACCCAAGACATGTTCAGCCCTGATCAGAGCTCAATGCCCATGAGCAACGTGGGCACCACCCGGCTCAGCCACATGCCTCTGCCCGCTGCCTCCAATCCTCCTGGGACCGTGCATTCAGCCCCAAACCGGGGGCTAGGCAGGCGGCCTTCGGACCTCACCATCAGTATTAATCAGATGGGCTCACCGGGCATGGGTCACTTGAAGTCACCCACCCTTAGCCAGGTGCACTCACCCCTGGTCACCTCACCCTCTGCCAACCTCAAGTCACCCCAGACTCCCTCACAGATGGTGCCCTTGCCTTCTGCCAACCCGCCAGGACCTCTCAAGTCGCCCCAGGTCCTCGGCTCCTCCCTCAGCGTCCGTTCACCCACTGGCTCGCCCAGCAGGCTCAAGTCTCCTTCCATGGCGGTGCCTTCTCCAGGCTGGGTTGCCTCACCCAAGACGGCCATGCCCAGTCCTGGGGTCTCCCAGAACAAGCAGCCGCCTCTCAACATGAACTCTTCCACCACCCTGAGCAACATGGAACAGGGTGAGTCAATTGCGCAGGCAGGCAGGCAGGCAGGCAGGCTCTGAGCAGTGTGCCCATGCTGGGGCTGGGCAGTAAGTCGAGGCCTCTGTACTGGGGCCCAGAGGTGGATGACTCTGCTTGCGGGGCAGATAATGACAGCTGTGGGCTTTCTCAGAGGGCATTACGTGAGTCTCAGGCATTTTGAGGGATTGTACTTGGTGCCCAGGATCGTCCCCTTGCTCGGGGCCCTGAGGCTGCAGGGATTGCTTGAAGACTGGTGGGCTCTGGAGATAGTGGGGGCCTATGGGTGTGTCTGAAGGACCAGGTGATTTGGGGAACTGACCTCTTCCTAAACCCCCCCAATATCCACAGCCGAACTCATCTGCCCCTCCCCAGTCACCCCTGCTCTCTTTGTCTCCCCGTTTCTGTAGGTGCCCTCCCGCCTAGCGGCCCCCGGAGCAGCTCCTCAGCACCTCCCGCCAACCCTCCCAGCGGCCTCATGAACCCCAGCCTACCATTCACTTCCTCCCCAGACCCCACGCCTTCCCAGAACCCCCTGTCACTGATGATGACCCAGATGTCCAAGTACGCCATGCCCAGCTCCACCCCGCTCTACCACAATGCCATCAAGACCATCGCCACCTCAGACGACGAGCTGCTGCCCGACCGGCCCCTGCTGCCCCCCCCACCACCACCACAGGGCTCTGGGCCAGGTGCGAGGACAGGCCGGGCCCCAGGGAGGCCAGCTGGTGTGGGCACTGGGATCGGGTAGCACAGCTGTGGTTGTGCTGACTTTTTTGTGCTTCTGAAGGCCCTGGGCATGGGGGTGGAGGCTCCGGGATGCTGTTCCCACTCACTGGAGTCATTAGTGAAATGCAGCCCAGAGCACTCGAGTGGTCTTTCCAACACCTGGTGGTGTCTGGCGACCTGAGCCAGAACTTGGTCTCTTGGCTTCTAGCTTCAGTGCCTCCAGTCCCTTCCCTCCCAGCCAGGGGAAGCCAGTGGTGAAAACTCCGACCCCTGGCACCACCCGGCTTGGGAGTGGGGAAGGCCTGAGCCCTGCACCCTCCCTAAGCTGGGCGCACTGTGCCTGACCCCCTGTCTTTATTCCCTACAGGGATCAGCAACAGCCAGCCCAGCCAGATGCACCTGAACTCAGCCGCTGCCCAGAGCCCCATGGGCATGAACCTGCCAGGCCAGCAGCCCCTGTCCCATGAGCCCCCGCCCGCCATGCTGCCCTCCCCCACCCCTCTGGGCTCCAACATTCCACTGCATCCCAACCCACAGGGGACAGGAGGGCCCCCTCAAAACTCCATGATGATGGCCCCAGGGGGCCCCGACTCCCTGAATGCCCCGTGTGGCCCGGTGCCCAGCTCCTCCCAGATGATGCCCTTCCCCCCTCGACTGCAGCAGCCACATGGTGCCATGGCCCCCACTGGGGGTGGGGGCGGGGGGCCTGGCCTGCAGCAGCACTACCCGTCAGGCATGCCCCTGCCTCCCGAGGACCTGCCCAACCAGCCGCCAGGCCCCATGCCTCCCCAGCAGCACTTGATGGGCAAAGCCATGGCTGGGCGCATGGGCGACACATACCCACCGGGTGTGCTCCCTGGGGTGGCATCAGTGCTGAACGACCCCGAGCTGAGCGAGGTGATCCGGCCCACCCCAACGGGGATCCCCGAGTTCGACTTGTCGAGGATCATCCCCTCTGAGAAGCCAAGCAGCACCCTCCAGTACTTCCCCAAGAGCGAGAACCAGCCCCCCAAGGCTCAGCCCCCCAATCTGCATCTCATGAACCTGCAGAACATGATGGCGGAGCAGACTCCTTCTCGGCCTCCCAACCTCCCAGGCCAGCAGGGTGTCCAGCGGGGGCTCAACATGTCCATGTGCCACCCCGGACAGATGTCCTTGCTGGGCAGGACAGGCGTACCCCCACAGCAGGGGATGGTGCCCCATGGCCTGCACCAGGGGGTCATGTCCCCTCCACAAGGCCTCATGACCCAGCAGAATTTCATGCTGATGAAGCAGCGGGGCGTGGGGGGCGAGGTCTACAGCCAGCCGCCCCACATACTCTCCCCGCAGGGCTCCCTCATGGGCCCCCCACCCCAGCAGAACCTCATGGTGTCCCACCCCCTTCGGCAGCGCAGTGTGTCCCTGGACAGCCAAATGGGCTACCTCCCGGCGCCAGGCGGCATGGCCAACCTGCCCTTCTAGAAGTCGCTGCTGGGGCTGGAGCCGGGGCAATGTTGCAAATACGATAACCTTAACAAAGTTCTTCCCCTCAATGTTGGGATGGCCTGGGTCGAGGGGTGGGGTGGAGGGGGTGGGAGGGAGCTTGCGTAGGGAGTGGCATTTGTGGAAACCAGATGTGCTGGCAGCTTAGGGGGATGTGGCAGAGTGGGGTGGGGGGATTTTGGATTGGGGTTGGTTCCATTTTGGCCACCAGGACTGCCCCTCCCCCACTCCTCCCAATTCCTATAGAGCCTCTCTATTTTACCTCTTTCCCTGCATCCCTACACCCGCCACACCCCCTTCAGCTATGCTTTTGGAGTCCTGGATGGGATCTGGGGGGAGAGAGGAAGGACAGGTCAGGTCTCCCCCAGCCCCTTCTGCTCTTGTCTCCTCGTGTCCACATTGCTGGAGCTCCACCTCCCTCTTCGTTTCTCTGCACCCCCCCATTTTCCTTCTGTCTTTACCTGCTTCGTATCCTTTCCCTGCTGATGTGGCTGACCCCTCTCCCACCCCTCCCTGCAGGTGGCTGGCCAGGTGGGCAGGTGCCAGCCGGAGCTGTAAATAGAGCGCTGCACTTTTGTGCTGGTTTGTGCGTGTGCTGTATTTCTGTGTTTTGATAGAAGTCACACAAAAAAAAAAGGATAAAAGAAACCCTTCCCCCTTCTTCAAGTTATTGCCCTCTCCATTCCCCTGGACCCAGGACGTGCGGCCCTACATGGCCACCCACTGTTTGCAGTGTCTCTGAGTCCCTAAGGGATACCATTCCTGTCCCCTTCCCAAATGGTAAAATGACGTAAATGCCCCACTCCTAAACTGAGGTCAGACCACCTAGGCTTCCACCTGGTGAGCCCTAGCAGGGCTGAGACCCCCCAGGGCGGCAGCCTGTCTGCTGCTGAGTGATTCGGGGGGAACATGTGTGCACACGCACACGTGTTTGCCCACACCGGTGACACAGGGCCCTGGCTTCCCACTTTCGATGCCTGGGCGTCCCCCGCTGCTACATCTTAGCCAGAACTTGAAGTCTTTTGTCCCAGTTTGGGATGAAGGAAAGGAGGAAGAGGCGGTGGCTGTGTGGCCCCCTTGAGTGGAGCCATGGAAGGTGTAGCATGGTGCCATTGGGGCCTGTGGCTGCAGTAGCCATGGGCCAGGTAACCTCCAGGGCCCTGACTTCCAGAGGCTGCTGCCACCTACTTCTTATCAGAGAAGGGGGAGAACAGTTCATCTGAGTCAGTGCACCTCCCCTCCAGGCTCCACCCCCTGAGGATGGAATCGGGGAAACAGCATCCTGCCGCCTCCTTTCTGCCTGTCCACTCACCGGCAAGGTTGTCCCTCTGCCCAGGGCTCAGGGCCATGTACCAGATCTGTCTGTGCCCACCCAGGCACAGCCACTGCCTCCCCCTAGGCTCCCTGCTCCTCCCCAGGTGAGCTCCCCATCCGCCTTTGGTCAGAGCTGAAGCCATATACGACTGGGTGTTTGTCCCCTACTTTGGCCCCAGGAGTAAAAAACTTCTCCTTTTCTCACTTCCTTTCCTGCCTCGGGAGGTGGCAGGGCAGTTCCCTGGCTGAGGCCTTTTGCGCCCCGCCTCCAGGGCCAAGGGCCATTCTAGACAGGGTGTCTTCTACCAGGACCAGTCCCTAGCCTTCCTGGCCTGGAGGGCCTGGTCTCGCACTGGCAGCTGTAATACAAAGGGAACTTGCCCCACTTCTCCCAGCCTGGTGCTGTCCTCTCGGCCCACCATCGGCCAGGTCCAGCGCTTCCTCTGGGGCTGACAACAGGCCCCTGACTTCCCCTGGCCACCTCCCAGGGGCCATGGCCAGGGCCTCTGTGTTTGGGGGCTCACTTGCCCTTCATCCTGCCAGGCGCTTTGCCCGCCCTGCCTCAGCCTGGGCCCTGTGCCCTTGAGCCCTCCACCCCTGGCCCAAGACCCCCCAAACTGTCTGACTCTGTGTTTCCTGCCCTGAGGAGAGAGGGGTCAGATCGCAGCGGGCCGAGTGCCCTCTCCGTCCCCTCTCCTCCCACCCGCGCCACAGGCCAGCCTACTCTTCCCTCCATCCATGGCCATACCCCTAGCCATTTTGTACCATTATATAAATATATATATAAATATAAATATATAAATACAATATGTGAAGACATCTTCTTGGTTTTTATTTTGAAACAATTTTTAGGCTTGTTCCGGGGGTCTCTGTGCTGCCTGTACTGTATTGACCTGTTTTATAGGTGCCTTTTTATTAAAAAGAAAATTCAAAATCCAGCCTCTTGCCTCTTTGCCTCTGCTTCAGACTCCTCTGTCAATTAGATTACCCAGCTTGCTAGGAGATAGTCAGAGAAAAAAGGCCCGTCCCAGGTCTTCCTTGTTGTTCCCCCGTGAAGACACTCTCCCCTCAGCTACAGCTGTTATTTCCCCAGTGGGGCCTCCCAAGGAGCTTGGCTGCTTGGCTTGGTGGGACAAGTGCAGGGGTCCCTGACTCCCTACCCGATCAAAGGGTGGGGAGGTGGGAGGGAGTGCCCAGAACTGTGGGAGGGAGGTGGGAGGGAGTGCCTCCCACACCCCAGGTGAGCAAACAAGCACGGAGCAGCTTCCTGCGGTTCCATCTGAGTGACATCCTCAGAGGGGCAGGGCACGGCTTCCTGGGGCCTGGGGACTTCCCTGCCCCAGTGTGTTTCTTACACTTCCCTGCCTAAGGTGATGCCACAGAGGGGATGGTTGAGATGACTCCCACAGGCCCCTTCCAGTCCACCTTTCTCCATTCGGACTCTGAGTTTCCTCGGGTCTGTAGCTTGTGGGAAGGGAGTGAGGAGGGGACAAGCCAGCCTCCTTCCCCATCAGTGCCCACAACCTCCCATCCCCTGGACCCGGCCACCCTAGGAGCTCTCCACCCCACTTCATCTCACCTAGTGGAGGGGACCACCGAGTTTCACTGATCCATGTCCCTCCTTGGGGTTGGGGAAGAAAGCTGTTTTCTTTCCTCTGTCGGGTTTCTCTCTTGCTTCTTGGTCTTTGCACTTCCTCAGGTCACTGGCTGCTCTCCAAGGGCACCTAGAGACGGCCCTGCCTGCAAACCACCCAGGACCCAGTGACATGGGGAGGACCAAGTGCTGTTTCAGTCCAAGCCAGTGGCAGCTACCTGAATTCAACCAGTCCAAGCTTCCTGCTTGGTCAAAATGGCTGCAGGCTTGGGGGCTTGGTGGAATGTCTATGTTTTTAGGAACTGAGTTGTCTGAAGGCCACACTCTGCTGCCAGCTGGCCTTTCCTCAGCCTTAACCTCCACTCATCCCCTGGTGCTCAGCTTCTCCTGGCCTTGTGGACAGGTGGGTAGGAGGGGAGAGGGGATTGGCTTCTCCTGGCCTTGCGGACAGGTGGGTAGGAGGGGAGAGGGGAAACTGTGGAGGTCAGCAGCCCTAAAGCTGATGGAGTGTGTTCTGGGAGGGACAGGCGCTCTCCGTCGGCAAGGGCAGAAGTAGAAGTTGTTTCCTGAGCGTTGGATGATTAGGATGGGAGGTACCTGAGGTTCTCTCAGCCCAAGAGGGTGCAGATGGGTAGAGACAGGCTTCACTGTGCCTTTGAGCTGCTTTCCGCTCCCTGGGCTCCAGTTGAGTCCTAGGGCTGGCAGAAGAGCTGGCAGGGATGTCCTAGAAATGGGGGTTGGTTCCTCTAGCTACCCCAGCTAAGGATACTCCTAGGACACTCTAAGCCACCGTGAGCCCTTAGGATCCCAGCTCCTGTTGGAGGGAGCATCCAGCATCACTGCGTGCCCCAAGGAAAAGCAGCAATAAAGGGGGACACTGGGACCTAGAATGTGGTGAGAGAGGTGGCATTCTCTGACTCAGAGAGACTGCTCTTGCGCCAGCTAGGGAAGAGCTGGCACAGGGAGGCAGGGCCGGTACAGCCCAGCTTGGTCAGGAGCCTCGACAGGTCACTGCGGAACTTCACGCCGGCAAAAGTGTAGAGCATGGGGTTGAGGCAGCAGTGGGCCAGGCCCAGGAACTCACACATGGTGATGGCCACGGGGAGAGAGCCATTTAGCTCGCAGGTATTGTCCACAGCCTTCAGCCTCACCAGGGTGTCCAGGAAGATGACGATGTGGTAGGGTGACCAGCAGAGGAAGAAGATGCTCGTCACCAGGATGGCCACCCTGACTGCCTTCTGCCGCTGAGGGCGCCGCTGGGCCTGGCGCAACCTGTGCACTACCCCCACGTAGCACCAGCCCATCACCAGCATGGGCAGCAGGAATCCCGCCACGTGGTAGAGGAATCGGGAGGTGAACCAGGCATGCGTTTCGGCTTGGTTCTCTTGGGAGAAGGTGCAACGTGGCAGGGAGTTGTTGGGATGGGCTTGGCTGACTTTGGCGAAGAGAATCTCTGGCAAGGCAAAGAGGAAGCCCACCAGCCAGATGGTCCCGCAGGTGATGTGGATGGAGAGGAGGCGGCGGTGGCGGTAGGCGTGGACGGCGTGGACAATGGCCAGGTAACGGTCCACGGCGATGCAGGCCAGGAGCAGGCTGCTGCAGTAGAAGTTGACTTTGTGCAAGACAATCACAGTTTTGCAGAGGAAGGTCCCCAGGACCCAGCCCACAGAGCCCTCGGCCACGGCAAAGGGCAAGATGAAGACCAGCAGGAGGTCGGCCACGGCCAGGTGGAACAGGAAGGTCTCCGTGGAGCTGCGTGTCTGCCGGTGCCGCTCCAGGATCACCAGCACCAGGACGTTGCCGATCACGCCCAGGAGGAAGATGAGGCTGTAGGCCACGGGCACGAACACAGCCTTGAAGGAGGCCATGAGGGGCCCCTCTGTGGCAGGGCAGAGGTGATTTTCCACCAGGGAGGTGTCGTTATAGTTGTCGAATTTGTCAAATTCCAAGAACTGCAAGGGCAAGGAGACGGGAGGGTGAGGACTGTCTTTCCTCTCCGAGAGGAACCCTAGCTCTCTTGGAGGTTTTTCCTACATAGGCTCCACTGACCAAATGTCAAGTTTCACATTTCAATTTTGAACAAATCACTTTGTGTTTTCCAACTTCAGTTTTTTGCCTGTCAAAGGGATCGCATTCCTTAGAGTGGTGGTGCAGATGAAGGGAGGTGTGCGGGTGGCCATGCTTTGTAAGTGCTGAGGGGCTGGGCCCCATAAGTCAGCTTGTGTTTTGGGGTCCTCATGTATGGAAGCCTGCAGCCTTGGGGGCTGGAGTCAATTTGGGGAATGGACCTGATTGGTACAAGGACCCGTCTGTTTCAGTTCCGAGCAGAACAGTCGGGCACTGCAACTTAGCATCGTGCTGGGGGCTGGGGGCGGGCGGGTGCTGACGTGGCCTGCGGCTCCCTCCTCATGGGTCTCACTGTTCCTGACCGTCTCCGTTATCACTGAAATGGCAGTAATAGCCTCCCATCCGGTTCAATATGCACAACCCGCTCAAGGTATGTAATAGTATTCCTATTTCACAGATGTGTCTTGCTAAAGATCAGGTTTGTGTGAACTGACATTTATCTACTTCCAAAGCCAATACTTTCCACTGAACAACCCTGCCTGGGCTTCCTTCTAGGGGCAGCAGATGCAGGTTCCCTGCTACTTCCCATCACTGGCAACCTCCCTGCAGCTAGGAGCACTCAGAAGCAGAAAGCCCAGAGGCAGACAGAGGCAGGAGAAAGTGAGGGTGACCCAGGGAGACTGGCAGGAGAGAAGGAGAGAGCCTACTCCAAGTGCAGGGGGCGTGCCCATGATGTCTCCGGAAGTTCCCTCCTCCCCATCCTCCTCTTCCTCTCCCCATCACCCCACCTCCATCACCCCAGCACTCAGGTTGTTTACCCAGCTAACCACAAAGGAAGACATGTGCCTGTTTTCACACCTTTCACTCACAGCTGTCCCCTGCACCTGTTCCTCCTCACCTCTCAGCTCTTTTCTTCCCACCCTCCCTACCCAAGCCCCTCCCCAGGCAATTCAAAATCAATTATAACCAACCTATGTGGGTTCAAAAAGGCAATACTATAAATGATGAGCCCCAGGGAGGCAGAGGATAGGATGGGGTACCCTGTCCACCAGGCTCCGGGTGGCTTAATGCTGCCCCCATTTTAGGAGAGCAAGGCCCCCCCACAAGGAGGGGGTGGTCACACTGGGTGCCACAGGGCTTTCTTGCCTCTCCGGAGCCACAGTTGTGGGTCACACACTCACTCCTAATGCTGAGCAGACCCATTCCCCAGCCTGGGTCTTTCCTTCTGGCTCTGGGGGAATGGGGCTCTGTGAGAAGCAGGTGTGGGAGATACATCAGTGCAAGGGCAGAGCCATCTGCCAACTCTTCCCACAGCATCCCTCTGCCATTGCCTCAGTCTAGTCTTCCTTCTCTTCACGCTAACGCTCAGGAGACCATCTCTCCATGGGTCCCGTCTCCACCAGCTTCTCTACTCCTGTCCACGTCCTGCACAGAGGACGGGGTGCGTGTTCTAAAACACAAATCCCACTGCCTCAGTGTTCTGCTTAAAGTCCTTTGCCGGTTCCCCATCACCCATAAGCAGTGGTTTTCTTTTGTTTTTTGTCTTTATTTATTTATTTTTTCAATTTCACTTTTTTTTTTTTTTTGAGGTGGATTTTTGCTCTTGTTGCCCAGGCTGGAGTGCAGTGGCACGATCTTGGCTCACTGCAACCTCCGCCTCCTGGGTTCAAGCAATTCTCCTGCCTCAGCCTCCCGAGTAGTTGGGATTCCAGGCATCTGCCACCACACCCAGGTAATTTTTTTGTATTTTTAGTGGAGACAGGATTTCACCATGTTGGCCAGGCTGGTCTCGAATTCCTGACCTCAAGTGATCCACTCACCTCCGCCTCCCAAAGTGCTGGGATTACAGGTATGAGCTACCGTACCAGGTCTCAATTTCACATTTAATAACAAAGTCAACTATAAGAAAAAGTCATATTTGTGATAATGTTCGTCAGTAGAAGATTGATTGGAGTCTGGGCATGGTGGCTCAGGCCTGTAATTCCATCACTTTGGGAGAACAAGGCAGAAGGATCACTTCAGCCAAGGAATTTCAGACTGCAGTGAACTATGATCATGCCACTACACTCCAGCCTGGGTAACAGACCAAGACCCAGTCTCAAAAAAAAGAGTAGAGTAAGCCAAACTTAGTGCCATTCACACATTGCTAAATTTCAGAACTGCTGGGCACAGTGGCTCCCAGCACTTTGGGAGGCTTAGGTGGGAGGATTGCTTGAAACCAGGAGTTCAAGACCAGCCTGCACAACATAGCGAGACCTCAACTCTACAAAACATTTTTTTTTAAATAAAGTTTAGAACTAATTGCAGAACATCCCATGCAGTAGGATTCCATGGAATTTCTCTCCCAAACACACACCTTTGTTTTTGTTTTTTGATAGATAGTGTCTTGCTATGTTGCCCAGGCTGGAGTGCAGTGGCTATTAATAGGTGTGATCATAGCACACTACACCTCGACCTCCTGGGCCCAAGTGATCCTCCTCCTGCCTCAGCCTCCTGTGTAGCTGGGACTGCAGGTATGTGACAGCAGCGCCCAGCTCCAAGGACTTTCTTTAGAGTACCCATGACTGTGTGTGTGTGTCACAGGGTTCCCCTGGGGTGGAGAGTGGTGGTGTGGCTCCAGGCTCCCCTTCTTGACTTTAAACTATAGCTCTCCACTTTTGACTTGTGTAGTGCTTCACACATAAGCTTTTGTTGAAGAAAATGGTTCTACTTTCATTTGAAAACCATGGACCTGTGGGATGAAGTGTAACCTCCCCAACAGAGCCTTTATGTTCCTCCCAAATGTATATTCCTCTGACCTTTCAAACTTTGTCTTCTATTAATATATTATTGCTCTAGGTCACCCCTTGGCCTTTTCCTTCTGCCTAGCAGGTCTTTCTTTCCAAAGTGGCCTATCTAATTTCTACCCTTCCTCCAAAGCCGAATTCAATCCCATCTTCCCACATCCTTGCTGGCTCCCCTCTTGGAATTCTCTCTTCTCCTTATGATGCGTGTGCATTTATTACAGCACCCAGGGTTGGGATGACCACTTTCTAACCAGATGGCAAAGGTCTTAGAAGCAGGCCTTCTGTGTCCCCCTCCCAAGGTCATGTGTTTTACGTAGGACAGATGTGTGCTGACCTGCTCTGAAAGCAGTTTCCCAGAGAAGGCCAGGAGCCCTGATAATCTGAGACTTAGGCTAGTGTCTCAGCAGGGACTCACTCCGTCACCTTCTGCATTCTGCCTTCTCCCAATAACCTTGACCGCCTGGATCCTAGATCCTATCTTGACTGCTCTCTCTCTATTGGGAGCTATTTCCAGTATTGTCATTGAGCACACCCACTTGACTAATACTGGAATTCAGCAGTCTTCACGCAGAGCCAAGCCATTCATGCAGAGGGAAGAGAGCAGCAGGGCCCAGGGCGGTCAGCAGGGCTGAACTCCACCTACCTTGGCTGTGCCTGGGTGAGGGCTTAGGTCCAACCAGCCTATCTGACCCAGAAAGCCCTGGGTTTCTGTCCCTAGGGCTCCCATCTCCTGAGAACCAGATTTAGAGGGGGGTTGGGAGGGGCCTGTCTCTTCCTCCTTGCCAAGAGGTATTTGTTTGGCAGCGTCAGAGAGAGGAAGATGGGAGGAAGCTGGTTTGAGGGGTGCTGGGAACTGACGGCACATCTCAGCAGGAGGTGTCAAACAGACGTTTTGGGGGTTCAGGAGTGGCACGTGTTAAAGCCACTTCCCACACATAGGAGTTCTAGCTCCCCCAATCTCCCCCAAACTATGGAGAGAGGCAATAAAGCAAGGTTGGCTCTTTCCTCATGGGAAGTTGAGGAATCAGGAATCCTGAATACTGTGGGGCATGTGGTGCTGAGGAAGCCCTCCAATCCCGTGCCCAGAGGGAGCGCAGGGCGGCCCGTTTGTGTGAGCGGTGTGCCCATTCTTTGACATGAAAAGCTGCAGAAACCCAAGGCCCTCATGCACACACGCACTCTGACAGCAACACCCACCTTGCATAGACACAGGTCCCAAGATGGGCCACACCAGTGTGTGGCATAGACAGGCACCCAGCAGACAACAGCCTGGTCATAGGCCAGGGCCACATGCCCCAAAGAAGGCAAGAAACACAATGACCAGAATGAGGCTGAGTGGAGCTAGAATCTAGTTAGAAAATTGCTGTGAGCACTGGGGAGGAGCAGGGGCTGTAACAGTGTCCAGTATTGAGGGGCTTAGGGGAAGGTGCGGGGTGTAAAGAGATGCAAAGTACTTGGCCTGTGGTAGGGCCCAAAATGTTACTCTTCTCCTTCCCTCCACTGTAGGATGCAGGCTCCTCCCTGGATAATTAAGTTTCCAGGCCCCACCTCACTTCTCCAAATAACGAAGCTGCCCCACTGCCCAGCACTGACCAGCATGAAGCTCAGCTCACATTTGCTAATGGGGATTCTATGTCAGCAGGTACATTGGTCAGGGGTGTCTAGCATGCCTCAGGGATCTATCCTGGGTCCCCTCCTCTTCAGCACTCTCAACCCAGCTTTGGGGGCACTCTCAGGCAACACAGAGTTCTTTACAAGCTGGAACCATGGGCCCAACCTAACCAGATGAAATTGCGTGGGGAAAAATATACAAGCCAGGACTCAGGTTTAAAACTTTACCCATCCAGGGATAAGTTAGGGAAGACCAGGTAACAACAGTTCGTAAGAAACACTTGGGAGTTTGTTGCCTACAAGCTTAAGATGAGTCATGGGAGTGACGTGGCCAGCAGAAGGGCCACTGTTACCTTCATCTGTTCACCTAGAACAGATGAAGTGGGCAGCTGGCACCAGCCCAGTTTGGTTGGTCTGGACAAGGATGACCGCTTTGTTGAGGGGCTTGGAAAACCCTGCCCGTGGAGGAAGTTTTCAGGTACTAGGGGTGTAGTGTCTGGGACAGAGAAGACTTGAGTCCATGAGGGCTGATGTCACGGATTGGAAAGAAACTCCATGGGCAAGAGGGCAGCAATGGACTCTTGCTGTGGGCTTCCAGGGGCGGTCCAGAAGGACTGGGCAGAAGCTGAGGGGGTAGAGTTTCAGTCAAAGGCAGGAGAACTTTCTAACAGGCAGAACTGTCCAGCAATGAGATGGGACCCTTGGGAAGGAGAGGAACGTTTGAGCCCAAGTGTGCGGGAAGAGATTCCTGCCCTGGGAAGAAGGAGGCTAGACTCTGCCTTCAAATGCCCCTCACTCTCACTCCCAGATTTTCTGTCTGTCCTGCCCTGCCTGGGGCTGAGCTGGTTCTCAGTGTGATCTCCGTCTAGCTCAGTAGCTGGAGACTTTGCTTTTCTAGTCCATTCTGCCACCAGTGAATGCCCCAGCCTGACCTTACTTCCCAGCCCCGAGGAGGGGGCAGGGCTGCCTGCGTGCGTGGCTCACTCAGGCCGAACCCCAGGACTCCAAGGCCTGAGTCATGCTGGCCACGGGATGTGTCTGCACACAGACGCCAGTCATTGCTCTGGCCACGGGGAGCATGCAAGCTCCATCTCCTTTTATGTCCCTGTGTGGATATTCCCAGCTGAGAGTCAGGAGCTGTGAGTGGAGCCGGCCAGGGTATCTGTCATTCCAGCCTTCGGTGGCTTAAGGGGTGCAGGGGTCTGGAGGAATGAGACTGGGCTATGGGTGAGGGTGTAGGTCTGTATCCCTTAGCCCGTCTTTCTTCAGGAGGCCCACAGCCCTTAAAGACCATCTGAGACTCTGGCTTGCCATTTGTCACATCTCCCTTGCTACACCCATAGCCTTCAGGGACAAGCCTGTGAGACTCCTCTTCCATCTCTTCCCACGGGTTTGGGCCATTAGAAGCAGGTACTGCGCTGGCTGTGGTTTTAGGGGGAGAGTTTAAGCTACTCCAAGCCTCTGCGGCAAGTCTTGAGGCTTAAAGGGGCCCCACCTGGCACCCCAGCGTCTCTTTGCCCTTTGGATACAGGGTCACACAATCCAAGGTGCAGATAGACAGGCCTCCCAGGTGTGTGTGGCAGCCTCTTGAAACCATCTCCTGGGCTGGAAATATTTTGCCCCACCACTCTTGAAAGAACGCTCATTCTTGTGTCCTGATTCTCAGGTCCATATACACGGCCGCTGTTGATGCCGTTCTGCTAGAGGAGTGGGATCAGCTGCAGACTGCATCCCTGGGGAAGGCAAGAGTTCCTGACGAGACTCTGCAGTCTGTATGCCTGAACCCAGATTCACTTTGACCCTGACCCATCCTCAGCCTGGCCTTGGGGCTCTCCCTCATGTCTGACCCCTCCAACCACACCCCCAGTTGGGCCTGCTCTGCTGGGGTTGCTCTGGGACTTTTGATCTGATTGGGGGGGGCGGGTGGAGAACCTCCCTTCCCCCCAGAAACAGCCTGAGCTGGTTTTGGTTCCTCTTCTTCACACCTCCGTGATGAAATGAGATGGTCCACGTGGACGGGCTGTGTAGCCTGTGATGCTCTAGTCACACTGAAGTCATGATGTGTGGTAATTATCTATGGAGAGGGGTCATAGAAAGCCAGGCTCTGGGGCTTGGGCCAGCTTCACCCTGCGCTATAGCAGCTTCCCCTCCTGGTTGGTGTGCAGGGTGGGGCTGGAGGTATAGTTTATGACCAGCCTCTGTGGGTGCCCCAGCCCAGGCCCTGGTTCTGTTGGAAGGAGGCTCTCAGATCAAGGTTCGCATAGACAGGGGCTGCTCTAGGTCTGCCTGGATCTGCCTTTCCAGCAGGATGGGTCCCTGGCATGCCCACCCCAGGACCTGGAATCTTCTGGTTCCTGGCTCTCAGCCATCTAATTTTTTTTCTATTTGGACCATTCATTCTTGAGAATTAGCAGCCCCTCCACACCTCCTGGCCCCTGCCTTAAAGAAGTGGACATTTTAAGCGGCTCAAGTTGGTCTTCGAGTTCAACAGGACAAATGGAATATAGAATGACCAACCTGGCTTATGGCCAGGAGTCCCCAGTTCCTTTTCTTTTTTTTTTTTTTTCCTAGCAAGTTTGTGTAGCCAAAAATCCCCAGTTCTTAGCCCAACATTAGAGTGTAAAACCCAGTGTTCAAGGAATATGAACCAATACTTGGTATGGGCAAGGACAAGGAGGAGACTAGGAAGCAGAAGGAGTAGAAGAACCTGGACTAATTCCAGAGGAAAATGGTGAGCTAAGAGCTTTACTGCATCACAAATCAATAAATACTTATTGAGAAGCTGCTACATGCAAGATTCTCCTGCCTGTACCACTATGCCCGGGGTTTTTGTACTGTGACACTGAGGGACAGTCTGCCAAGCTGCTCACAGCCCTTCAGTGAGTAGGTGGGGGTGGAGGAGAGGGTCTGTGTTCTGAGGGGACATTGGCCCTGGAGACAGGGTATGTAGGAGATTCGTGAAGGGAGAACGACGCACTGGTGGCTGGCTGAAGAACTCCAGAGCCCAGATGGTCCAGGACTCCGGACTCCCGGCTAGACCCTGAGTGAGGGATCCAGATATTTGAATGCCTGGCTGAGGATCACTCATTTGAGGTGTGACATGAAGCAAGTCACTAGGTCCCTTTCCCCCAGATGTAAGTTTTCTTGGGACATACCCTGCTGCCCCTGGCCCCTGCCACCACCTGTCTCTAGTAGGTCACTCAGTGAGGTGAGACGCGCAGTTAGGGGAAACTCAAGGTTTCTCAGAAGCTGGGACCCGCCAGGTCTCCAGTCGGTTACTAAGAAATCCAACTGGGTCAGGGCTCGTGGTCAGTTTGAAGCTGCAGGCAGAGGAAGACGCCCAGTAACCGAATCAGGCAAGGCCAGCGGCCGTGACTGGGGACCAGGGTGGGAGCACATTGCCCCTTTGGGGCTGCGGGTTTTTAGTCTGATTTGGGATATTGCCCAGACTCTGTGATTAGACTCAGGGCAGCTTCATAGGCGTGCAACTGGTGCAGTCACACGGGGCCTGCACCCAGCAGGACCCCTGACTTGGTTTAGTGCTCTGCTGTTGCTTTCTTGATATTTTTAATAATTTTTCAATAAGGGGCCCCATGTTTCGTTTTGCACTAGATCCCACAAATTATGAAGCAGGTCCTGATTAAATGAATGGTCCAGTTCTGATTCTGCTTGCAGTTTGGATCCGAGAGGCCAGGCTTTGGGTAGTTAGCCCTTCTGCTCACTTTCTCCCCGTGTCCTACTTACACTTCCCAGCCTTGAGATCTGGGCAAGCGAGAGGCAGGCTTCTCCCAGCAGGTCTGGGAACACGGTTGGTGGAACTACAAAGTCCACTCCAGCTGGGGGAGCAGGAGGGAGTCAGACAATATCTCAGGGTAAGTTTGGGCCAGGAGAGTTGGTAGGAGCCAGGGTTTGGCTCCTTCATGATCTAACCCAGAATGCAGTCCCAAGACAAGTCCTCTCCCCAGGGGGAGAAAAGACCGTGAAGAAGTTTCCAAGAAACCCTTACAACCAGCCTCTGCCGTCGGCTCACAAGGAACCCTGTGTTTCTCCGGTTGAGCTGCTCCACACATACACCTTTTGGGAGCCCAGTGACGACCAGGTCAACTGCACCTCTACGCTTCACTGCAGAGACATGAGTGCTGGCAGTGTAGTGCTGGGGACCATTTTCTTAGCCCACCCAAGAAACCTTTCCAAGAATACCTTATCTCTAGAGATTCTACAACAGGTTCCAAGACATTTTTTCAGATTAACAGTTTTCTCACCCTGCTCCCCAACTCCAACCTGCTGGGATCCTCTTCCTTGCTACCATCTGTTCTCATACTTCTCAGTTTAGCACATAATTGTTGTCTAATAGCTTCCAGTGAGTGATTTTTTTTCTCTGGCCAGAGCAGAAGCTATTTGAGGGCAAAGACCAGATCCTCAACTTCTCCACCCAACATAGAATGTAGTGCCCTGATGATATAATCATATGGTAAGAGATGAACAGCTATGCATTGATTGACTGATGAGCAATGCCAGCCTCCTCATGGTAAGAAAACCTCCAAAGGTACTTTCCTGTCTAGTTCCATATTCCCACCCTAAGAGAAAAGGAGAGAAAGAATGGGGAAGTGAAGTATCCTGTTCCCGGTCACATAGCAACTCAGAGGAGGATTCAGGGCCTGACCCCATGTCTTCCAGCTTCCTCTAAAGGATGTCTACTAAGGACAGCAGCTCTCCTTATCTGCTTCTTCCACAGAATGGAAAATAAACTCTTAAAGGGCAGGAGCTGACTGACCTGTCTAGATTTTACAGATCCACAGCGGGAGAGGATTCCCACGCTGTCCCCTCTCTCTCGGATTCTGGCAGAGGATATTAGAATTCCAGGCAGGGCCTCGGCGACAGGAAGCTACCCGTGTCTACTCACCAGGTCCTCCAGGTTCTCGAGGTCCATTTCCAGCATTAGCGGGTAGTTCATGGCTGTGCCGGCTGTGAGTCACCAGACTGGTCACTGTCTGATGTTGAGAGGCTCCCCGCCAGGTGCCTCTAGAGAGGTGGCAGCCGTCAGCTGCAAATTTAAGCAAATGAGCTGCGCATCGTCTCCTGGGGCTGTAGGGCCGCGACCTGCCTCACAACTCATCACTTTTTTTTTTTTTTCCACTGGGTCTTTTCTGTTTTTTTGAAGAAAGAGGGAAAATCCCCCACAGCATCAGTGCTAGTCAAGCATTTCAGCTTCTTTCCCGGCAACAATTGTCTCAACTGGGGCCTATGACTAGTTTAAAGGCTGCTCTCTCTTCTCCTCCCTATGCCCCCAATAAGGGGCTCACAACTTGTAATGAAACCACCACACGAAGTCAGCAGACTGATGAGGGAAACTCCTGATCAACAGAGAACAGGAGAAGAGCGCTCCCAGCAACCTCTCCTCCAAGCCACCTCCAGACCTTCATCTTCCTCACCACTAGGGCGATCAACCATTCCAGTCTGCCCAGGACTGAAAAGTCCCTTGACTTGGGAAACCCCTAAGTCCTGGCAAATCAGGGCACTTGGTGAAACTACTTGCTACCATCCTTTTGCCCAACAGGGGCAAAACCCCTTCCCTTCTCAGCTCAAGTTCAGAAAAGATAGGTTAGAATTTTTCAAAGGGAACAACAGTAAAACAACACTGGAAGACAAAAATGAAATCAACTCTGGAAGGCCGAGGCAGGAGGACTGCTTGAAGCCAGGAGTTGGATACCAGCCTGGGCAACATAGCAAGACCCTGTCTCTAAAAGAAAAAAAAAAAATTGAAATCACCAAGAAAAGCATACAGTTACAGAGTCATTTTCTGACTCAAAAATAATGATGTTCTATCTATAAATTAACTTGGTTTGCTGATAAATTATTAACCTCATAGACTACCAGGCGAGAGAGGACTTCAGAGATCATCCAGTCTAACCCCCAATTTTTATGCAGGAGGTCCGTGAGGCTGAGAGGGAGAGCAACTTACCCAAGATCCCACTGCTAACCAGTGGCAGAGCTGGGACTTGAACTCAGGTCTTCTGACTCCACCTTTAGTGTTTTTTCTACTCCAAGCTGCCACTCTTGCAGGCGCTCATAACCTCTGTCCTTTCCCTCAACTCTGCCCTGTCTGAGGGCCGTTTCCTTTAAGAAGCCCTTTTGTAGATGTTGATCAATTTCCCTTCCAAGTCTCATTTGTGGCTTTTTCTTCCAGAAGTGGGCATTTCCTCTCTTGGTCCACAATGATGTGAAAACAATGTCTGCACGCATAGCGGCACCCACACATGGTGGCTGTTTCTTGGCCCCACCCCCACCTTTGTATCATGCTCCCTTTCAACCAAATCGCCCTTCACTGGGATCCTACCCTTTCCAGTGCTCTCCTTCACCCTCTCCTCCATATTCACCTTCCCTCTTTCCCCTCTTCACACCTTGCTTACTGAAGATGCTTACCTCACTGCATCCCCAACAGATGTACCATTGGTTTTTTTTTTTTTTTTTTGAGACAGAGTTTTGCTCTTCTTGCCCAGGCTGGAGTGCAATGGCATGATCTTGGCTTACCGCAACCTCTGCCTCCCAGGTTCAAGCAATTCTCCTGCCTCAGCCTCCCGAGCATCTGGGATTACAGGCATGCCCACCACGCCCGGCTAATTTTGTTTGTTTATTTATTTATTTATTTTGAGACAGAATTTTGCTCTTGCTGCCCAGGCTGGAGTGAAATGGCGCGATCTCAGCTCACCACAACCTCCACCTCCCGGGTTCAAGCAATTCTCCTGCCTCAGCCTCCCGAGTAGCTGGGATTACATCCCGGCTAATTTTGTATTTTTAGTAGAGATGGAGTTTCTCCATGTTGATCAGGCTAGTCTTGAACTCCCGACCTCAGGTGATCCGCCCACCTTGACCTCCCAAAGTGCTGGGATTACAGATGTGAGCCACGGCGGCCAGCCAACAGATGCATCATTCTTAGGTTTAAACAGCCTGAAGCGTTTCCAGCCTCTGTTGGTGGTATTGGGGTCGTTTCCTTGCTCTTCTCCATTCACTGCCTTTAGAAGCTGCTTTCAAGGAGGAAGGCTTTCAGGACAAGGCATCACACTTCTTCTCCAGCACTTCCAGTCCTGATACCTCCGGGAGGAAGCTGCCCCTAGGTTTCCTGTGTCCCAGGCTTGCTGGGAACTCCTCATCCTTCCATTCACCCTATTCTCAACATCCCTGCCCCTCCAATCCCTCAGCATACTCGACTTAGCCTTGGCCACCCCGGCTAGGGACATTGATCAGGAAGGAGTACAGCCTATAGAATCACAGAGGAATTGAAAGGAACTTTGAAAGATAAACCAGACTATCCTCAACCACACCCCCACCCCCAGCAAATGCAAGATTCCTGTCACTGCATCCTTATCAGATGATCACCCAGCATCAATGAATACAAACATCAATGAAGGTGAGACATTTGCTCCTTTCAATAGATCATGTTTCAATGGAGAATGGTTTCATGATTAGAAACTTATTCCTCATGATGAGTCAAAATATGTCTTCCTGTAACTCCACCCCAGAGGTCCTGGCTGTCCCTTCTGTCTGGACTGTCTAACTCTTCTTCCAATAAGCATCCTCTGAAGACAGCCAGCACATCCCGAGAGTCTTCTTGTCTCCAAAACACACTTCCACAGTGTCTTCAGTCGTTATTTGAAGACTTGGTTTCTGGGTCCTTTGACACCCTGTTTTTTGACCTCTGGGTGATTTCTGGGACATAGATAAGTCATCCTTGGGTCTATCCAAGTTCTGATGGCAAATATCGACAGGATGAAGCCAAAATCAGAACTCTGCTTCATGTCATTAGAGACCTGCTATACCCAAAGGTCAGGAGAGAATTCATGGAAGTCTTGGCCACTGGAGGCTTGGAGAGAGCGAAGGCTTGGTGTGCCTGGAGAGGCGGACAGGGTGGAGAGTGTGGGACATGATGAGAACTGCTTGGAAAAAATGTGTAGAAAGAATTCCCTGGCCGGACATGGTGGCTCACGCCTGTAATCACAGCACTTTGGGGGGCTGAGGCGGGTGGATCACGAGGTCAGAACAAGACCATCCTGGCTAACATGGTGAAACCCCATCTCTACTAAATATACAAAAAATTAGCCGGGTGTGGTGGCAGGCACCTGTAGTCCCAGCTACTCAGGAGGCTGAGGCAGGAGAATGGCGTGAACCCAGGAGGCGGAGCTTGCAGTGAGCCGAGATCGCCCCACTGCACTCCAGCCTGGGTGACAGAGCGAGACTCCATCTCAAAAAATAAATAAATAAATAAAATAAAAGAGAGAAAGAATTACTTGGGGCTCACGCCTGTAATCCCAGCACTTTGGGAGGCCAAGGTGGGCAGATCACGAGGTCAAGGGATTGAGACCATCCTGGCCAACATGGTGAAACCCCGTCTCTACTAAAAATACAAAAATTAGCCGGGTGTGGTGGTGCACACCTGTAGTCCCAGCTACTCAGGAGGCTGAGGCAGAAGAATCGCTTGAACCTGGGAGGTGGAGGTTGTAGTGAGCTGAGATGGTGCCACTGCACTCCAGCCTGGTGACAGAGTGAGACTCTGTCTCAAAAACACACAAACAAAAAGAACTACCTTGTGCTCGGCACATCATAGGCATTCTGTGTGTGGTGATGTGGCTATGGCAATGATGATGATGATGATGGTGATGATAGGGCCGGGGGAGGAGTGAGGAGGTGATTGAAGCATGTACTGGACAAGGTAGGAGCTGCTCTTATGGCCTTAGTGCAGTGGTACAATCAAGGCTCACTGCAGCCTTGACCTCCTGAGCTCAAGCCATCTTCCTGCCTCAGCCTCTCAAGTCGCTGGGACTACAGGCACATGTCACCTCACCTGGCTAATTTTATGTTTTTTGTCGAGACAGAGTTTCACCATGTTGCCCAGGCTGGTCTTGAACTCTTAGGCTCAACCGATATGCCTGCCTCAGACTCCCAAAGTGCTGGGATTATAGGCGTGAGCCACCATGCCCAGCAGCCATGAGTTCTAATACTGCCTTGAGAAGGCTCACAGAGTTACTGCCTCTACTAGAAACCATGATCTTACAGTCTTCACACATAAAGCCAGACTAGCTCCCTAGGATAGAGAGGGCAATGTCTAAGCTGTGATCCTTTGCCTTTGAAGGGGAGATGTCAGAGGTTCCACCTGTGTGTGACAATCAGATGGGAGAGGACCCTTCCAGGTCAAGCAGCCCAGGTTTTATTTCAGTTTGCAACTTGTTTATATTTCACCTATGCAGGATCCCAATCCCCACCCCATAGGCAGTCTAACTGAGGCTAAATTGTTTTCTAGCCTTCTCGTCAAAATGACCACCAGAGGCTGAGCCTGGTAGCTCACCTCTGCATTCCCAGCATTTTGGGAGGCCAAGGTGGGAGGATCACTTGAGCCCAGGAGTTTGAGACCAGCCTGGGCAACATAGGATACCCCATCTCTACAAAAACTAAAAATATTAGCTGCACACTAGTGGTTCCAGCTACTCAGGAGGTTGAGGTGGGAGGATTGCTTGTGCCCGGGAGGTCGAGGTTGCAGCGAGCTGAGATTGCACCACTGCACTCCAGCCTGGATGACAAAGCAAGATCCTATCTCAAAAAAAAAAAAAAAAAAAAGACAAAAAGACTACTGATGCATCCGCCAAAGACTGGGTTTGTGTCTGGTTTAGGCATGGGTGGCTGCTTACATCAGCCTAGGTGGATTTTTCTCAGTAATTATACTTTACAGTCCATGGATTATGTTGAATTTCTATTTGTTCCAGAGATTAAATGCAATCACTTGTCTTAGAGTTCATTTTCCATATTCCACAGAAAAAGTAAGCTGTTCCACACAGTTTTGGGGTGCTGCTGCGGGGAACGGGCTGGGGTTTCCCCCTCTATTAACCTGGGACTCCCTCCCTCTCTGACTTTGCCAGAGACCTTGTTCTCTTCTTTCTCTAGGTCTTTCCTAACAGCTGAGAACAGAGCTCTCAGGTCCCCAACTCATCAGCCTCAGGAAGAGTAGAGTATGCCTCTCAGCACTGAAGGAAACTCACCATAGCACTTGCATAGCAGTCACCGGTCTACACAGTCCCATGAGAGTTTAAATTTGATGTTACTTAATCTTTATATTTCACTTAATCTTCACATTTA